TCTCTCTCTCTCCCTATCTATCTGTCTCTCTCTCTCCTCCTCTTGACATTGCATCGCACGCACATGTGTAACTTACCTGGGCTCCATGATCATGACTTCCATGATCCGTCCAACACTTTGCCTGCAAATGCAAAGTAAATCGTGATAATACGGGTGGTTTTCTCGAACTCTGCGCGTCTCCGCCGCACCAATAGACCCATCGCGCCCTAGCCTGTCCCAAATAATGTGCCGCACATCCCTGTCCCAGATCCGGTCGCTGCCCGTCTGTCTCGCCCGAGGCCGGATCAGCCTAACCGCCCTGCCACAGTTCTTCCCCGTGCACGCTGGCCGCCGCCCTGCTCTGTTCCGCTGTCGACGATAAAACGGAACCCACTGCTGACCGAGGGTCTCCCCGTCTCCCCCTGCCTACTCTGCGGTATCCGAGCGGCCGAATCGCACTCGAAACGCCGCGCGGCTGCTTCTGCCAAATGTTTTGGCATTCCTCAAATACCAAATTTCGCCAGTCACTTCTGTCTTGATTTTGTTTTTGCTTTCACAGAGGAGGGAAAGGAGGGAGAGTTATTGACAAGACTGTTTTGTTGAGAAAAGCGTTTAATTTGACGTGTTCGTGACACTTTTTGCAAGAGAGTCTCGGGCAGCGGTGCAGCATCAGCAGTGTGTGTGTGTGTGTCCTCGCCCGACGGCGGCCGTGACCGCGAGGCGCGGTACAGGACAGGAAGTGCATCCGCATCCTTGCTGATCACGCTGACGATGGTCTCCGTCTTCCCGCAGGTCCAGCGCAGCAGCAGCAGCCGCAGCTGCAGCAGCAGCCACAGCAGCAGCAGCCACAGCAGCAGCAGCCACAGCAGCAGCAGCAGCCACAGCAGCAGCAGCAGCAGCAGTTTCCCAGCTGCCGGCACAAGGGCCGGCGCTACGAGGCCGGCGAGCGGTGGGCCACGGCGGGCGGGCAGGGCTGCGGCGAGTACGAGTGTGGCGAGGACGGCGCCGTGACCACCACCTGGTGCAGCCACTTCGTCCCCGCCCCCGGCTGCAGGATGGTGCGCGGCGACCGGACCGCCCCCTATCCGCTATGCTGCCCCCGGCTGCGGTGCGGCGGCGGCGGCGGAGTCTGAAAGCAAACCCAAAACATAATGACATGATTAAGGTCAAACCAATTTTGCTTATTGAAATTGATTTGACAAATTTGTACTACTTTGCATTTCTGGATTCTTTAAGAAAATACCAAATAGATTTTTGGGAATTTTAATAAACATTATTCAAAGGACGCCAAAATAAAATACCACAAAAGCTCGTGGGAATTGGAAAAGCTGATGTGTTTGTAAGTATCTGGAACTGTGATTTTAACCACGACACTGCGATCAGAGTTTTCTTGCGGAAAATTCCGACTTTCTTTGAGCAGATTAATGTAATCATCATATTTATGCCAGAGAGAGAGAGAGAGAGAGAGAGAGAGAGAGAGAGAGAGAGAGAGAGAGATGAGCACGCTGAGAAATAAAACTGTTGTAAAACGATGAACAAGCCGAAATTGCGCTTTCCCTGGTTCGCAATTCATCATCGAGAAGGGAGTCCGCAGGAGTTCGTCTCCGTCATTACGGAAAAGAGGAGGGAGGAGGAGGGAGGAGGAGGGAGGAGG